CCCCCCCCCCCCAAGGAATCTCAGCTCATCCAGGCGAGACGTATATGTGCCAGAGCTGGCGAGCGCGGAGTGCCCTCCAGTAGCTCGGTACAGCAATCTAGGCCTACCCGTGTGGGTTAGGGTTAGGATGTAGGGGTGGGCTTGGACTCGTGAGGCCTAGCGCCGTGGTGTAGGGACTGGAAACCTGGCAATGGCTTCGGTTTCGTGTCTACCTCCAACCACAACCCAAAAATTGTTGAAAGGCGAGTGCAAGCAAGTCGCCAGCTTGGGCGTATGTTCGCCTGTCGGCTCATCTAGGCTCTTCAAGAATACGAGCCGCGTTTCTCATGACCGTTTGTGTGGGTGCGTGGGAATAGGATTTTCCAGACGGAAAAGTCGTGGGCACCGCAACATGGCTATAGACGCGTCTGTTTGCGGTTTGAAGCTGCACTGCAGCAGGCGAAAAACATCGGCTCGTGTGTGTGTGTGTGACTCCGGCGTATCACAGTCCACGTGTATCCTGCAACAGCGGAGGCTCGCCCTACCGATCCCGGAACTCTAGCTTCGACGACGCCGCTTTTCTCGTACAATTATGCCCTGGAGGACCACCAAGACAATAATTGGATGATCTTCGCCCGACGCATGACAAGCGTAAGTCGGGGTGAAGATCATCCAGTTCCTGCCTTTTTGTTCTTCCAAGACCTGCTGGGACGCGGAAACTGGGTCATCGTAGCTCCAGGTCCGGAATCGGTAGGGGTGGTCTTCGCTCCCGCCAGGATATACCCGATAGACCCATGGGTTTGAAGCTACCATTGTGTTTGGCCTGGGAAAAAGACTGCGACCCACAGCAGTTGTACGATGCTGTGACAGGTTTGAGTTTAGCTCCCTTCGTGGGGCCAAAACAGGGCAAGAAGCGGTAAATACTCGTGGTTTTGAGCGTATTCCCGGGGCTCCATGAAAGTAAAGCCTTCCCTGTGCAAACCTCTCAAATACAATTTTATATCTAACCGTTCATTTCGTTCGGTTTTCTTTTATGGGCAAAACGATCCTGGACAATTTTCGCTTGTGTTTTGACACCCAAAACTTCAAGTAATATCGCTGGGGTGTAGTCATCGTGTCACTCATATGCAACGGAGGGAAGCCACACACAGACAACAGCAGTATCCCAACCCTTGGATGTTGATTGTTGCACCTCCTCCCTCACAGTTCTTGGCTCCGCGCTCAGACCCGAACATCATCTTGGCGGAAGTTCGGCGGCAGCTGTTCCACCATCGAGGCGCGGGCAGGAAAAATGTCATCGAGTTTCAAGGTGTGTTGCCCGATAGTATGCCTGCGTTCCGTTACCCGATAGCAGCCTTGTCTTGGCACACGAAACGAGAGAGAGAGAGAAAGAGAGAGAGAGAGAGAGTTTCTTCCCAGTGGCTTTGGGTGAGCGCCTCACACACCGAAGCCCCCTCTATGTTGGTTGCGTATGACTTGCCATAGGAGGAATGCAGAGCGTATCTAGCCTCTGATCTGTATTCTTTGAGCCCGGCAACTAGCTGTCAGTTTTACGAGGATTCCATTTCCCTCCAACGGTTCCGTGTTGTCGGAGTCCACAGCACAAGATGGTTGACCTCTTCCCCGCCCATACCCTGATCATCGTGACGATATCGAACGCCTCTGTAACGTGACTGCCCTTAAGACATCAACAGCAGCAGCAGCAGCAGCAGCGTAACCAACTGCCCTCACGAAAAGCACGGGACGGTTACTTGAGGTTTGGTTTTCATTCCGGTAGTTATCGGTAGATCCAAGCTTGCTTCATTTCAGCACCTTTTAACGAGCAAAGGTCGGCAGTCAAATGCAACACAAGCACATCGCGGGAGCAAGGTGTTTTTAGAGCCAAAGAGTGCGTGGTGTGCATTATGCGAGCGGTAGCGGGGAGTGGTTCGCTGACAAGAGTCCACGCGACAACCAACATTTCCGCCTCGGCATGAAACGGCTTAGGGTACGCAGAAGAAATACAGCATGCCATGGTCATGCATGCCATCTAATCCGCATTCGTGAAGAGGACGATGATGACATCAGCCACTCTTTTTGCCGGCATTCGATGCTCGCACCCGAGTCTTGGTTCGAGAAATCGATCACCCCGAACTCCACCCGCCCGAGCCAGAATGTCTGCCGTTGTCTGGGCTGTCTGCATCTAGATACCGCAGGAAAACAACTTGAAGACTGCCCAGCATGAAGGTCACCAGCGTAAGCGTTTGCCCGCCCTGTATCAGTCGCGTTGACGCAGCCAGCGCTTTTTTGCCAGGCGGAGCGAATCCTCTTCGAAAAACTGCTCCAGTCCAGTCCGTGATACCACCACCTCGCGGGTAGCCGCTCCTTTCCGTGACTTTTTGGCGCGAAGAAAGAAAAATTCTGCCCCGTGTATTTTGGCGATTGTGTCTCATCAAAGCGAATTTCAACGCTCCGCTGTCACACCTATGGTGTATGCAGCGTGAAGTACTCCTGTTCATTGATGAAGGGGAGGCCGGATTTGTGTCGAACGATGACCTTCTCTATGCAGCAGAAGTGCTGTAGTCGGTTGCCCAGATCGCTTTTCGCAGCTTATCGCTCTTGATGCCTCCCCAACCCGCGATTTTTTTTGGTCAATGAGTACCATGGAACAAGCACAATTGCAACCGGTTCCGGTTTCACTGAGTGCCGTACCTGTACTCTGGGAGACACGAACGCTGCAACACAGCCGCTGTTTGCGGAACCAACCGCAACCCAAGGGGAAACGAACTGACCTTTCACGTCTTGTTGGGTTTCACCAGAGGCCTTCAAAGCTTGGGATGGAGACGGAGACCACATGCTGAGCCATTTCGAGTTTGAAAGGGCGCTGTGCAGGCGAGTTTTATTTATTTTTTTGCACCAGCCGGTCGGTCGATCCGCATTGCTGCGGTAGGTTTCACCGGTGGTTGGGTTTTGGCTCGTGGACTCCCGCCCCGGTTTGAGGGCCCCCGAGAGAGTGGCAAGCTTGCAGATTTCGACGGGGCTCCTCGATGTGTAAAAGCTGCGCTTCTCGCGGATTCGTAGGGGAATAGGTTGACGAGGGAGCCGCACAGAGCAGTAGAGGAATGAGCGTGTGTGGCCGCTGTGTGTTTGTTGCGGTGGCGTCGACCGCGCTAACCGGCTGACCAATGAAAAGACTTCAGTTTTTTGTAGCGTTATTGCGGGATGAAATACTCGAACACGCTTTCTAGTCGAAGGGTTCTGCCACCGACAGGGGGAGGCGCAGGAGTTGGACGACAACAGTAGTGTCGTGCTTCTCGAGGACAAGGAAAATACTCAATACCCACAAGCGGTGTGGTTGCTGCATCATCCGCTTCTCTCATGCCGGAACCATTGCCCTGTACTTGGTTTCTATCGGGCTTAGTTTTGCTCCAGGTGATTGGTTATTACTATTTTGCTTCTTCACGGTGGTCCCCCTAACGCTTGCTTTCACCACCGTTGCACTGACGTTCTGAAGGATCAAAAGCCTTACTTTCTTCGACACGGCAGTCATCCCTGTATCTCATTCGTGGGCCGTTGCTGCGAAGCCCTTGCCATTGCATCCGACTCTTCTTCTCGCCTCTTGCATGTCGGTGGGTTCTCCCTCTCCTCCCCTTTGCTATCCATCGGGAACCACTGTCGTATAAGTGTTATCACCTCAACTATTGTGGATGTAAGACTACACGTGGCCGTTCTGTATGAGAAGGCACCAGCCGGGGTCACACGGGAGCGTTTCACTACGAGACTTTGCGGTATGTATGAGAAGGCGCAAGCCGGGATCACACAGGAGCGTTTCGCGACGAGACTATGGCAGTGCAGCCACAGCGGTCGATAGGTCTAATACAGTACTTCCATAAATCTTGGTCCTCTGTCCGCGCAGCCGCGGTAGGTGGCAATGCTTTACCGTCCGTGCCGGTTTGCGAGACTTGCCTGTCGTGTCCATTCGCGCGTTGATGTAACCGCTGAATATGTTGCTGCAGATGCGGGATCTTTCTCCCTGTCCAAGAGGTAAACGCACTCTTCCGACGGTTCGACCCAAGAGGGGATGGCTTCGCCGATGCTGAGGTGAGAGGGGGGGGGCGCAGGCGTGTTAATAGGCGAGGCCGTTCAGGTGCGGCCAACCCTCTGCGACCCGTGGGCTTGATCAGTTTAGGACAGAGGCATCTTTTTCGTTTCTTGTTGTGCTCTGTTGTTGTTGTTGTTGTTGTTGTTGTTGTTGTTGTTGTTGTTGTTGTTGTTGTTGTTGTTGTTGTTGTTTCTCTCACATTAGCTCTATAGTCCACAAAAAATGGGGAGCCCGTGGTCTCAAAACCCGGCACATACGACGCCGCGAGAAAACAAAAAAAAACAAAAATAGGGTACAAACCACTCGGAAAAAGAAAACAAAATGATAGAAAGAAAAGAACAGGTATCGCAGCGACCGTTCGAGAAAAGAGCCCTCGGACACCGATCAAAATAAAACAAAACAAAAATAAAGGAGGACGCTTCCCACACCCGCCCAAAGAAAAAATAAAAGGGTAACGTGCCAGCACCGGGCACCACGCACCAGGGCATGGGAGTAACCTGTATTCAGGCCTCGTGACGATTGCAGTGTCAAGCGGTCAAACGCTTGGATGTTTGGATGTGGCTTAGGTGCGACCAACCATGGCTGCGAAGCCACAGGGCTGTCGCTCGAGCGTCAGTGCAAGCGAACCCGGCGGAGTATGCATAGCTTCCCGTTAATTTAGTCTCAACCAAAGCAAGGACGAGTTTTGCAGCTGGAGATTTGTTAGTCCGACGGCGGGAAGAAGCAGTATACACATGTAAGACCAAAAATCAACCCGAGTGGAACACCACGCTTGGACAATTCGTGAACAAACGCATCCGAAGCCCCTTCTCTAGTGTTCTCGTTTCGAAGCTGGCTGACCTTTTGTCCCGCTCCCCTTGCCACCGCCGGGGCCATGGGGTGCGTGCTTTGTCGACTTCCTCACAGGAAGCCCTCTCTGCGTTGCGCGTGCCTCTGAGCAAGCGTCGGCTTGCCGTTGTGGATGCCGCGTTTTCGTCAATAGCTGCTGCTGCTGCTGCTGCTGCTGCTACTGCTGCTGCAGCAGCGGCGGATGTCACCACGCAGCGCGGCGATGGCACAACCAGGGCGGTGTCGCTAGGGTTAGTGGAGGCTGTGGGCCGCATGAATGCGGACGGCCACCCGGAGGTGGCTGCCGGGAGAATCGGTCCGCAGGAGGTAACGCAACGGCCTATTGCATACTTCTCGGTGCTCTTAGTATGCTTCAAACTTGTCTCGACGGCGAAAAATTCACGGGAGTTGGTTGTTTCGTTTGGGGACTTGTCGAAGTTTAGTTCTCTCTTGAGCGCTTGTGGTGTGTCTGGCGCCAGCACTATTCCACGGGGCCTATTGTGCCGTCTTTTCGTACCGGGGAAATGAGTCCGACACTATTCAACTGTGGCCCCGTGTAAGTTGTCCCGCCGGCCTTTTCCGGCGTTTATCGTCTCCGATATTTGCGTGCTTTTTCGGTCGGGACCGCGCCCGTCGCTACTGTCTGGGCGTTACTTAGTAGCAACTGTCGGACGAAATAGGCGTTGTGAAGAAGGCTCAGCAGCAGTTGATCCAAAGGCAATTGCACCTTGTTTCTTCTGTCGGTCGAACTCACGCACACAGCACCACCACCGCTGTGATGGGCCTGCGTCAGGTGAAAGACGACTTCTGCGAGTTCTTCATCGACCGAGCGGGTGAGAGAGGAAGCGGCGGGGCGGCCGCGGGTGCGCCGACGGTGTCGCTGGAAGGGTTCAGGGAATACTATCGAGACGTTGGCGTTTGCGAACCGTACGACACGGTCTTCATCCCTATGATCGAGGTGGGCATGCCTGGAAACGATGCGCTATATGGCCCTGTGCGAGCGGTAGCCGGGTAGCGTGCGCCAGGTTACTGCGTCTCGACCGTTGTGCTGGCCATTCCGCGTTTGCTCGCAACGGTAGCAAAAACCGCTGTGCGGCGAAACCGGCCGGTGGGGACGTGTCTCCGCTCGAGCGACCACTAAATAGCTGGTCCCGCCATGCTGTTTCAATGGACGGCGTAGATAACTCAGCTCGGCGGCAGTGGTGTGGGTGGTTGAAGCCCAAGGCTCTACTGACACAGCGGGATGAAGAACGTGCTGGCTTGTCCCGTGGTTCTACCGCTGAGCTTCGAAGGCGGGGAAACAGGCACGCGCGCTTCGCGCTTCGAAGGTGTTCCGATGCGCAGCTCGACATGCTCCCGAAGAGCTTTGAAGGAGGGCAAGTAGACGAGAACAGCCCGAACAATGTCACGAACATGTCACCAAGAACGGCGGTGCTGAACATCAAAAATCTAGTGGATTGCTTTGGAATAATCTAAAACATCCTGCTCTATCGCTGTTGGTTGCTTCTTCCGGTGGCTGCTCCTCGTCGACCTTGCTTTTCCGCTATATCCTAGTCGCAATCGAGCGAAGGCTGGGGGCGACACACAAACGACGAATTGTAGCGTGCAATGCCCACGGACGAAACTTGTTTGGGACGCTTCAGGAAGCCACATTGCCAAGTCAAGAGCTGTGGAAGTTTTGCCGGGCATGCTTACAAGCTATCTTCTCCTGAATCTTTTTTCTTTTTAAGATGCAACGGACGAATTTATCGGTGTGCCCGTGCCAGGCCCTGTGGGGAGTGCGAGAGCCACATCCAGGGGACATCAGGCGCAGCGAGCTAACGAAGCTCTTGCTGCCCAAACTCAAGCAGCACTCGCGTGGGGCCGAGACTGCCGGGGAGGTAAGCTAGCTGTAGCTGTTCACATCACGACCTCGGGGTGGCTCACTGGTCGTCGAAGCCGTCAACCGTGTTGTGAAATCTAGCAGCTCCTCGGGTGACCCATTGGTCGTCGCAGCCGTCACCGGTGCTACCTAACACATGTCTTGAGTGCGCGCGTTGTCCCTCTCGGCACCTACATGTTGAGGTCCCCTCTCGCTTGCCTGCGTATACGGCGCGCAATGCATGGGTGAAGTCGAACGCACCATGACGCGACCAATTATTTTGTGGTGCGACGCAATTTGTTGTGGCGTTTTATCACGATTTTGTGGGGCTCCTGCTGGAACTTCATGAAGGGTTCGTTGTCGAGCAAACCGAAGCGTGTATGGTACTGCTGCACTGTTTGGCACGTTTCTCGCCGATTTTTCTCTTGTGGGTTGCACCACGCGCCACGTCAAGCGGAAAAGGCACGGATATGCCGTGTGGCAGAACGGCTGCCTCGTTCATTGAGACGATACAACCGCCAGGTAAATCAGGAACCACGTTGTCCTTATACGATTTGCCGTATTGCCGTCGCGAAGTTTGTTGTTCGTCAACCCTGTGGCCTCGCCGACAATGACAAACCTTCGTTTCCGAGGAGGCTGTGGAGAAAAAAAAATGGCCCCTCTCATCTGTTTGTCTTTGGTGTCAGTACCCACCCCCTTTACCCCCACGGCAAGGACCGTTTTTCTCATGGGGATCACTGGCCTCACCCCACGCCCACCCAGGGAGATACTGCAGAGCAACAACACCCGCCCAGACCCACCCACGCCCCTTCGTGATTGCTGTGCTTTCGCTCGCGTGCTACGCACGTTCCTATGCACGCGGCCGCTAAGGTTTTGAGGAAGACCCTGAGGTACTACAGCGAAGACGACAAAGGAGAGCGCGGCGCCAAGCACAGCGGCGGCGGCGGCGGCGGCGGCGTCGTAGGTCCTTCGGGCGTGGAGAGGTCTCTCAACAGCTTCGGCTTGTACCCGGACAAGAGGGAAGTCCAAGGTGCGAAGCTAGCTAGTGCTCTACAGGGCGATGGTCGAATGAGACCCGTTTTTCGCCCTGTCTCTGGTCGCTACTTCTGTTGTTATATCATCTCGGTATCGTAATTCTACAGGCCTTTCTTTCTCGTGCCCTTCCTAACCCTCTTCTCCACATCGGTGGGTGGTCCTCCCGTCAAGTGAGCGTTAAACCGTCCACTGCAGTTCCACCCACATACGCCGTTTTTTTTTGTTAGCTCCCTCGCGGCGCCGGCAGCCCCGGACAGTACAGGGCCGCGCTACGAAACTAGTTTTTCGCCGCACTCCTTTCTCACACGAAACCACGCTTTTTCCCGTTCGGGTATCGAATCTTGCTGCCGTTGCTGTACGTCAATCGATAAACAAACACCACCAGATATTTTCGCCGCGTTGGGATCGCCCAAAGGACAGCCGCAGGACGTGGACAAAGTCTTGGTTTATCTTTGCCCCCCGGAGCCCGTGCTGGCGCCCATGTTTTAGCTGGAGTACGGATTATTCGTTTCCGTGCCAGCGCGTGGTGTAATTTATTTATCATCTGCTGGGGTGATATGTTGAGCGTGCTCGTAGTGGTACGTGGTGATTGCATGTATGTGCTCATGATAGATGGGGTCGTGCGTACTGTAGTGCGTGTGCACTGCATACTCCTGTTTGTCGGTGGCGTGGTGATCCGCTGGTTTTGTCTTTGTTCTACTACACTGCCGCCACTTTGTCCTGTTTGCTCCGTTACTCCCGTGCCCTGGTGCGTAGTGCCTGGTGCTGGTACGTTACCGTTTGATTTTTTCTTTGGGCGGGTGTTGGAAGCGTCCTCCTTTATATTTGTTTTTGTTTTATTTTGATCGGTTTCCGAGGGCTCTTTTCTCGAACGGTCGGTGCCGTACCTGTTCTTTTCTTTCCATCATTTTGTTTTCTTTTTCCGAGTGGTTTGTACCCTATTGTTGTTGTTTTTTTCTCGCGGTGTCGTATGTGCCGGGTTTTGAGACCACGGGCTCCCCATTTTTTGTGGACAAGAGCGCTAATGTGAGAAACAACAAAAACAAAAAACTGTACTTTCCATATGCGTCTTCACGACTACGTCACCTCGGAGGGTTTGGTTGCGATGGTGTTATGGTCGGCGACATCGGGGCAAGTACAGGCGAAAATGTTTTGATGTGTGCGCGCGTTGGTGATCGGACAGGTACTTAGGTACCAAATATCTGCATTTTTGAAGGAAACACGGTACTGCCTCTTCGTTCGTTGCGTCCCCTTCTCTCTCCCTGTGTACAGAGAAAGAACCTCCTATTATTTCGGCCGAAGCTCATTTCTTGTTTCCCCTCAACCCAGCGGCGACTATTCTATATCAATTAACCTTCAAGGTTTCACCATGGGATTCACTCCTCTTTCTTGAACAACATAGAAAGAACCACCACGTTCTTGCGCGGTGGCGCGTTCTTTATCAGGCTGGTCGTTGGTGCTGATGGCGTTGTGAAACGTACCATTTGGGAGAGCGTAGATGCTGCGCACTTTTTCTCTCTCGTTTGGGTGTACAACAGAGAACGATCTTCTTGTTGTATCGATCGGCGTTTTTTGTAGGTCGATCCAACTAAATATAATGCAGCGCTGCTGGTGTTTTTCGTCACAAGGGACAGCAGAGAGAAGGAAAATACGACACCGTTCCACAGTCCCCTTCGACGTACTGCTGCTGTTGGTATCTGTGAACAAACAGCCAATCTTTCACTGGCGCACCTTTTTGTTCTTGTCTCGCTACATTAGACCTATATCCATTTGTACCACCACCGATCGGTGGACATATAGTCTACATATTACATAGCCTGCGACCACGGGAATCGACCGCGTCGAGTGTTGGATCAGTACAGACATGCGGAGGTACTGGGTAGAGAGAGATCGGAACGGTTTTTAATGTGAAAACAACAACACTCGATCGAGAACGTATTATTTTTTATTGTTCGAAAGGATACCACCACATTTACCCCTACTGGACGAGGATCCAGTAAGTTTACCCTAAGGCAGTAAATGCAGAAGCATGCTGTGTTGTTATCAACTTATGGATCTGTGTGATTCTGGGCACAGTAAAGTGTTTTGTTTTTTTTCGTTCTGACATCACCCTCCTGTTGTTGTTGTTGTTGTCTTCACATTAAAAACCATCCCGGTCTCTCTATCCAGTACCTCTTTCTGTCTCAATCTCTCCGTACTAATCCATCACTTGACTCGGCCAATTTCCGTGGTCACAGGCTAACGTACCTAGAAAAGGTATACCAAAATAAAATGGACCCCAAGGGTCAGCAGAGCGATAAAATACAAGAAAACAAAATATA